GGGTCCTCCTGGTCCAGACTGGGGTTCCACTCCGCTTTAATGTCTGGGAGCTCTGGGTCCTCCTGGTCCAGACTGGGGTTCCACTCCGCTTTAATATGTGGGGGCACTGGGTCCTCCTGGTCCAGACTGGGGTTCCACTCCGCTTTAATGTCTGGGAGCTCTGGGTCCTCCTGGTCCAGACTGGGGTTCTAATCCTGCTGTTCAGGGGGACCTCTTCTTTGCTGCTGGATGTCTGCAGGACTCACTGACACACAGACACACGTCACTTTGATTTGCTGAAAGCATTGACAGCACTGCTTACCTCTGCTTGAAGGAAATTTAAAAGACTGTTGCATTAACATATTTAATGTTAAATTATTAAATACATTTAAAAGGCCCTTTCAAACCAGAATGTAGAAGTGAACCATGTTCAAATTTACATGGAAACTTGGCAGCTTTGGTTGCAGGGGTCGTGACTAAAAACCGGGTCAAAGGTCAGAAAATATATGCAATACAAGTTTATACAATACATATACTTGTCTGACGTATCCTTTGAAATATGTTATTATTCCAGAAGGAAAGGCTTCAAGTACCCAACTACAAGCACTCTTAATGGGATTTACCTTAATTCTGAAATCCAGATGTAGTACACCTCTTCTCTGCTGACGTCACAAACAGTTCAGTAATGATTTCAATGGTTTGTAACAGTCAGTAAACAGTGCGAGAGGCTTGTTGAAGGTGAGAAAGACATTTACTCATTTTATCCAAAGTGACTTACATTTGAGGAACAACATCCAAGCATCAAAAGAGCAGCAAATACAGATCTACAACTGACAATACATACTAGTAAGAGCTCATAGCACATATCACATCAATGGGGTAAATACCGAGGGGAAAGAAGAGTTGACAAAAAGTGCAGTCAAAACGAGAGAATTGTAAGGGGATAGAAGAAGAAGAGCACAGGAAGTGCATGTTAGAGGTTAGGAGTTGAAGGTGTTATCGGAGGAAGTGTTCTCTGCAGAGTTTTCAGGAGCTTCTTGAAGTCAGAGAGGGACGGCCCTGCTCTGATGGCGTGCGGTAGCTCGTTCCACCATCGTGGGGTCACAGATGAGAACAGGGACTGAGGTTACTTTGTGTGAAGGGAGGCAGAGCCAGGCGGCGTTCGCTGGAGGAGCGTAGCGGCCCAGAAGCAACGTAAGCTTGGATTATGGAGTTCAGGTAGACGAAATAAAGTCAATTACAGAAACATTTAACTGTTTCAACACTGTGAAGTTACAATAAAGTTTAGAATACAGCTGCACTCCTGTTGTACCGGCGGCTGGTTTGATGTCAACAGAGAGTGAAGAACTAGTAAAGGGAAGAAACCTGCTCTGTGTAACTGGACTTCAGGCGTCCTGCAGTTTCATTGTCAGTCAGAGCAGCTGAAAGGTTTCTCTCTTGTGTGGATTCTTGTGTGTCTTTTCAGATTTGTCTTGCGGCTGAATCTTTTTCCACACTCAGAGCAGCTGAAAGAGTTCCCGCCTTTATTTAATCTCACTTTACTTGCTGGTGCTTTATCACTTCTCAGAAAGTTTAAACCTGACTGAGGTCCTCTTGGCTCCTTACAATCATCACTGACTCCCCCAGGAGTCTTTAGTCTTGTCTTCTGTCTCAGGTTGTCAAACTCTATCTGCATCAGAGTCTCTGGCTCGGTCTGGTCCTACACAGTCTTCTCCATCAGCTACCATCTGTTCAGTCTGGCTTTGATGAAGCCGTAAGGACCGACGACCAACACACTTGTGTTTTTTGCGCTTTTTTAACAAAGTGAAACCTTTGCCACAGATACTGCAGCTGAATCGTTCCTTCCCCGTGTGGACAACCATGTGTCGTCTCAGATCTCCTCCCTCTGAAAATATTATACCGCAAACTAAGCAACTAAAGGAGTTCTCTCCTGTGTGAATCTTCATGTGTATCCGTAGATTTGGCTTGTTTCCAAATCTTTTCCCGCACTCTGAGCAGCTAAACTGTTTGTCGTCAGTAACGTGTGTCCTACGACTGACTGAGGCTTCTTCATTACTGAGAGAGTTTAAACCTGAATGAGGTTCTCTGGTCTCCTCCCAGTCATCACTGTCTTCAGTCTCAGAAGAGTCTTCAGTCTTGTACTCAGGTTTATAAGATTGTGTGGCCTTATCACTGCTAGAGAATTGTAAAAGTCTATCTGGATCAGAGTCCCTGGCTGGTTCTGGTCCCCCACAGTCCTCTCCACCAGCTTCCATCTGTTCAGTCTGGCTCTGATGAAGCTGTGAGGACTGAGGTTTCTCTTCATCATCTTCACTCTTCACAGGGGCAGGAGTGAATGGGAACTTGGTGATATCATCCTCCTCCAGCCCTGGAAGCTGCTCTCCCTCCTGACTGGACCAGAGTTCCTCCTCTTCCTCTTTAATGAATGGGCGCTCTGGTGGGTCCTCCTGGTCCAGACTGGGACTCCACTCCTGCTGCTCAGGGGGAACCTCTTCTTGGAGGTCTCCAGGACACCCTGAAACACAGAGATATATTATATTAAGCGGAGATATTCTTGCTGTGGTCCTCTTTGGGAGGGGGGGACATCTCTTCCCATAACCCACATGTGCTATGGAGTTAAACTTATTCGCTCAGCAGTTCGTCCTGTGCATGACGGCCAAAGTCTTACTTCGGCTTTAAGTTTTTCATAACTAAGTAACTTGTTAATTTCATCCAGCAGACAGCAGGTCTATGAAGCTGACTATGAACTCTGTCACCATTGAGTTTACATTAAAAGCTCTCCACTGGTAAATCAGAAGAAGGCACAGGTGTGCACTCTAACAAGCCCAGCTGAATTAAAAATCAATTAAAGTGTGAAATAGAAGGCGTACAGAGAACTTTCTTCACTTCAGTTCAGACATTTGTAGTCACTGAAAGGGTCGTTTGTTCACTTTTAAAGTAATTTTAGTGGTTGAATCACTTTTCAAATGCACTTCAGAATAAGGCTGGACAATAAAACAATAACAAATGTTTGATTATATTTACTTAAATCATCCACAAATTAGGACTTAATTTTTTAATTAAGATGTTGATTTTGTTGAGGAAAAAAGCTTTTACGTAATGTTATTTATTTGTTGTGACAAAGATTTTATCATAACTGTTTTGAATGTTCTGCCTCAGATTTGTGAAGTGATCCACTGTTTGGAATCAAGTGTTGACCATAAAGAAGAGTTTAAACCCCAATTAAATATCGGGTTTCTTCAAATTTCACTCGGGAGCAAAAATCTGCCTTTAAACTCGAACAAAACAACGATTTGATACTTATCGTGATAATTATCAAAAGATATTAAACTTTATATCGTGAAACCATTTTTGGCCGTATCATCTAGCCCTACTTTAGAATCAGGTGTAGTGCCAAGTTTTTACAGATACAAGGAATATGTGTTGGTGTTTGGATGCGTAACAGCTAACATAGTAAGTAGAACATGGAAAATAAAAAGCAAGTATTTCAAGTGTAGAAGCATAAATAGAAAGTATGAAAACCTATTGTGCGTACAATATCTATTTAATAAAAAATAAGCTGTACAGTCCTGGAGCGATGGTGGATTGCAGCCAGTCACGTTCTCAGCGGAGTGAATGATCCGCTGCAGTCTGCTCTTGTCCCTGGCAGCAGAGTACCAGATGGTGATGGAGGAGGACGGTGGAGTACTGAACACCTGCAGTACCTGCCTGCATCAGCTCGCTCTGATGACACAGTAACAGCTCAGTGTTGGACAAACACACCTGTGAACATGTCAACCTGGGCTTATGATGACATTTTAAATAGACAATAATTAACTGACAGATTATTAACTGATGAAAGACACATGTGGGAGTTATGTGGGATTAGATTTAAGCTTTAGCACATCACGGACAACCACGTGTGCCTGTTGGTTCAGTAATCTAACACCTACAGTGAGTTTAGATTAGCTAAAAGCTGATGCTCCTTATGACTGACAGCTGGGTTCGGCTCGGACCGGTTCGGCTCGGACCGGTTCGGCTCGGATCTCCTCGGCCTGTTAGCTCCCGTTAGCAGGAGCTAGCTGCGTGCGGCCGCTTTAGCTCCCGTTAGCTTAGCACCAGCGACGTTCCCAGCAGCAGAAAGGAAACTGACCTGCTCTCCGCAGTTTTCTCTCAGGCCGCTTCAAACCCACATCCAGCAGGTTCCGGTGGCGGCGGCCCAGCTCCTCTTCATACTCGGTGATTGTTCTCTCAAAGTGGCCGAATATCTCCTCCACAGCCGCAGCCAGCCGCTGCTGGACGAACACCTTCAGACTCTGGAGCCCCGACATGTCGGAGACACCCGGAGAAAAGCTTCTTTAATGTTCACTAATGTTTTCACAATCACTTCCTGCTCGCGTTTCTGATTCTTCTTCTTTGAGGTTTTACGGCAGCTGTCATCCTTTAAAGCATCGCTGACTCCCTCATTTTAAATCAGTCGCCTTCATGAAACTACAAAACCATTTTCCTCCCTTCAACACAGCCTCTGTTCTGTAATTATCATTTATCATTTCTTGTTTCATGTATGAATTTCCTGCCTGTCATAACGACTGTTTCATCCTCCTGCATCGCTCACAAAGACCTGTTGGATGTTTCCTTAGAAGAAAGACCCATCTGTGATGATCTGAACACTTTCTTTATACTTCCTGTCCCTCAGGCTATAAGTTAAATCAGTCTTATTATTGTCTAACAGGCCACACCACACTGTCCCCCCTGAACCCTGAGCCCTGGCAGATTTATAGATAGTGAAAACTGTGACCTGCTAAAAACGTTAATGAGTAAATTAGTATGACATTTAAAATAAAAACAGACAGTGAGCATTAACTGAACATTTACAGAAGCTGGTCCTGAAAACTCATGTATTTTATTACATGTTAATCTTATTTTAAGTAAAAATCTTTTTTTTTTTTCTTTCAATTCAGAACAGAAGTTACGTCATTGCACTTTTTTGTAGGTCTAGGCTGTACTTTGTATTATTATTAATAATAATACTTTTAGGATCTGTAATTAAACGTATGTGGTATAATAATTAAATGGGTAAAATCTAGATTAAAAACATTTGAAACGTTTTTCTTTTATTCTGAAGGCTACCGGAGTGGGCCGGAAGTTATTTTATGTTTCCGGGTCTCAGCGGTTCCTTCTGGCGGAACTCTGTTAGCATGTTAGCATGTGTCGGTGTGCTGGCGTGTAGCAGGAGCTGAAGCAGCACGTTGGCCAGATGTAAACAGCGACAGAACTTCTTCTCTGTCTCCGTTTTCTTCCCCCGTCTGTGGAAAATGTCCAGACTTCCGGGCGTCAAAGGTTCCCGGCGGCAGCAGCGGCTAACGTTAGCTGCGGCTCGGACGGGTCAGACAACAAGACCCGGACCCGGAGAGGACCCCGCTCCCCGACACAGTCTGCTAGGCCTGGTTTCAGCTCCCGAGTTAAAGCTGCGAAGAGGTTTGTTTTCTTCCTCCTGCTGTTTACTGCAAATGTAGCAGGCGGCTGATGCTAAGCTAACGTTAGCTGCACCCATCTTACACAGCCCGTTAGCCGCAGCTAGCTGAAAAGTTTCATCTTCAGGGAGAGGAGATGCGGTGCGGAGCGCTGCCATCAAATACAATCTTACCCATTTTAAGTAGAAACAAAATCAGCGTTGATAATGTGTCAGTAATAAACCAGTGAAACGCGTCCAGCTGGATCTTTGCCTTTATGAAGGAGCGGGAGCATCTGTGACTGAAGGCTGCACATCATCCTCACTTTGATCACGTTACAAGAGCAGTAACAGCTCCACGGGTCTCAGTTACTGTTGACAGTTTAAGATATTTGCATATTAGCGAGTTATGGCATAAGAGAGAAAGGTAACTTACATGGTGATCAACCTCCTTTAACCGTCATTTTTATTGTAGAAAACACTTGATGGCTTATTTCAACAACCCGAAACATAAAACGGCGTTTAAACAGTATCAGATACAAAAAAGCCAAAAGAAAGAAGGTAATTGTGAATCTTATTAAAGTATCATAATGTGCGTCTGTGTTGCAGGATTTTGCTAAATGTGGCTGATGGATTTCATCATTTGAGTTTGAGAACGTGCGCCACTTTAAATGTTGCCGCCGCAAGGAATTGTGGGACGGCGTTCTCTCCTTTCCTTGGGTAAAGGATGGTGCGGTGTGCCCTACGCTAAAGGAGATATGAAAGGAAGCATTGAGGCTCCTTTCCTCAGCTTTTAGAGAACTCGACCAGCTCTCATCACGGCTGCCGCTGAAACACTTCCGGGTCGCTTCACTCAGTCAGAACCTTCCTGAGCCGAAAAGACTTTTCAGACGCAGCCCGTACTGCATTTGGGCACCAGAACAAAGCAGCGAATACACAGGCCGCAATGCATTACCGCAATAATTCAAGAAGATAAATAGATAAATATATAAATCCGGAGCTTTACGATGCCTGGCTAGCAGGTTAGTTTAGCTCCAGAGGGCTGTCAGCAGTATTTAAAAGCCTGATGGCAGACGCAATAAAATAATTTGTGTATCCGGTGAGGTAGCGCCGTCCTGAGGCCATTAAACAGAATTCCTGTCTAAGAACGTGGTCATGACCTGTGTAGCCTTCTGGAGGACCCGTTTCTTCCAGATCAGATCCAGGGGCCTGAACCGCGAAGCGAGTTCAACATACCCAGGATCTCAGACGTTACGCTGCACCTTGACTTGTTGTTGCACAACGGCCTCACAGGCAATGAAAGTAGCGCCCGCCACCCGAGGGACTCCGGTGAATTACTGAGCTTGTCTATTAAACACGAGAGGCGTCACTTGGTTTTAGTTTTGTTAGCCAAATTTTGAACTGAACCTCAAACTGTGTATTTTTGACACAGAAAGATGGACTCCTGGAGATCTGACCTGAGATCAGGACGCAGTAATTGCTGGTTTTGTCGAACACACTGTGGTGAACTGTGTTGTTGTTGTTGTCTGTAGGCCGACCTGATGATATAATTTCATATAAAGTTAATGCCATGACTTGACTCTCAAATTATCTTTCTCATCTTGTTATAATTTGATATTTCTTCTCCACCTTTGCTCATAATAATAATAATAATAATGATGATAATAATTCATGCATCACCTAATTTCATCATAGCACAGGCCCACAAGAAATAACAGTGTAGTTTAATCTAACATTGGTTGGTCAGACTGATTTACCGTCCTTTCTGAATAATACGGGAGGTAAAGAGCTTAAAAATTAATTACATATTAAATCGAAAAAAATCACAATTAGCTTATTTTCCAAAATCTTTTTCAGCCCTAGCCTACGTTGATATTAACATTTAGTATTTCAGTATTCCTACCAAACTGCTCACAATATTCAGCCTCACATCAGAAAGTGAAACCCGTCTATTTTAGCGGCTGCGACAGGCTGTGTGAGACGGACTGAGAGCAGATACAAAATATTAAACTCATTTCAGAGCAGTAAGTGGGTTTACTGTAAAAACCTGCAGGTCTACAGTCAAATCCGCCTCTGTGGGATGATGTCGCTGTAGAGTCTCTCCGTATCACCGCAGCAACATAAAGCAGCCTGCGGGATCTCCTACAGGTGGTGATGTCATTTTCCAGAGAGCCGATTGGTCAGTAGGCGGCGTTGGCCGTTCAGCATCAGTTACCGTGGAGATCCACCCCGGTAAGAAGTGAGCCGCCGTCGTGGTGCCGAAACCCCGGCAGGGTTCAGTTCCCTGGAGAAGCTCAGATCCTGCTTCGTGGTCTGTCAGCTGAGCTCCAGTGATGTTGGAGCAGATTTTAACAGTGCTGCTGAGGCTGTTCTCGTCCTTCACAGACGATCCATAAAAAGGAGCTTCACAGTTTTATATCCGTGTGAGGTGGAAGAAGTATTCACATCCTTTACTTCAGTAAAAGTACTAATACCTCAATGTAAAAATACTCTGTTATAGTTCTCCAACGAAGGTTGAAGTCAAGGGCAACTGGACTTGGTTGAAGATACTGGAAGACGTTTCGTCCCTCATCCAAAGGACTTCTTCAGTTCTGACTGACTGGCAGGGAAACTCAGCTATTTAACCTCAGTGGGGTCGTTATCCCGGGTCATCGATACCGCAGGTTCGTTAGTGTTCCTGGTTGCTGTGACGACAGTCGTTGCGGTCGTTAAGACTACCTGTGGCCGAGACTGAACGACCATCGTTGGTATCTTCACCTGAGGCCAATAGGTTACGTTCCCACTTCCCAGGAAACTCAACAAACGTAACCTATGCACACAGGTCCATTAATCTAACAACTAATTTTGTTTATTCTAAAGAACGTTGCCTATTACTTGATTAACAAACCAATTTATCAAAAAATCTATATTTTATTCAGTCATCCTGATGAAGCAGATCAGAATAATAACAGCAGCATCTTAAAATAAATCCAATTCCCACGTCACTGATGTGTTGTGATAATAACATTTAACTTCAGACTTTAAATGTTTGTCATTCTGAGTAATGCCGTATGATAATCAAATGTATTTCTGCATCAGTGTGGGGCAAAGAAACCCCTGAACCCACTCACAGATCGTCTGTACTGTTGGATTCAGCTGTTAAATAACCAGAAAATATGAAACGGCTCATGCTGCTTCACGTATTCGTGGACAGCAGTTGTGCTGCAGTGAAGCTATTTCCAGTTCACAGAGCTCACGGAGCAGCACGCCGTTGAGTGTCTGTCTGAAATACTCCCAAACTGTAGACGGTCGAAGGCGCCGTCTGGTAGCTGCAGCTTGTCCGGGGGAATCCTACAGACACCGGATGCAGCGACGCTTAGACACAAATTGCAAGTCGATGAAAATAGCAAATATAATGCTTCCCACATTCTTGTTACAATATACAGATAAAAGGCAACAAATACTAATTTTTTAATCACTGAAAACGGAGACTGTAGTTATCGTGTAACTGAGAATTAGGGATGGATCCAATGATAATTTTCATTAATTTGCAATTATCTGACGTCATCAAATGTCTCGTTTTGTCTGAGCAACAGTAGGGCTGCAACTAACGACGATTATTGAAACGAATAATCGACTATCACAAATCACAAAATTACACAATGCCTCTCATTTAGCCATTGGCTTTTAAATTAAAGTAGAGGTTGTTTTAGGCATGTGCTAATTAACAGTCAAGGCAACAAAATGAATACTGCTTTCAAAAATACATATTTCAACGTTTCTGCTGCAGCAACAGAAAGTTTCGCTGAAATCAGCCCCTTCATGGACCAACCAGGTAAATACAGGAAGAAATAACTGTGTGTGTCTGAACAGCTGATCTAGTGACGGAGCAGCTCACACCCCGAGTTCTGTAACACACTGGGACAAACAGACAATCTACGTATACAAAGAAAGGAATAACGTCATGCGTTACAGTTGCCGAATATACAAGAGAGGAACAATAATAACGATTTCACAACGTTTAGTTTCCTCAAACTCAACAACTCACAGAACCCGTGATCTTTTTTAAGGGAGTCTGGGGCAGATTAGCCGCCACCTCACGCACAGACAGGAGAACTGTTTTCTTTAGAAAGTTTGAAATTGTGTTGTTTTAATCTTGTGCACTTAGCAGCAACACGTTGTCCAGCTGGGAACGTCCACGAGCGATGCATCGTTTAAGATTGTAAAGGATGTGAAGGGGGCCGTTGTGTATCATAATTATTTGCAACGCCATTAACAGTCACTTAATTGACCAAGGGAAACTGTATAGAAAACGTGACGGCTCATAACGTGAAGCTAGCTCGCTAACTAGCTTACTGAGACGAGTCATCATCTACAGAGCAACGTTACGCGCCTCCTCTTCAGATGCTCCGGTGTTTCCAGTAAAGTTGAAGAGTGAAATGCTGCCACACTCTGGAGGTTTTAGGTCATGAAGGTGTTATACCAGCGCTAGGGCTGCACAATTAATGGAATACTGATCGCGATTCTGATTTTAGCTCCCCACAATTAAATGAACATGAAATGCGTGCTCCGCTCATGGAAAACTTTGCTGCATATCAAATCAAGCGCTTCCTAAACTTACAGCCAAGGGGGCAATTTGGCTGCGCACACACCCTCCTGCTGCTACGGTCCAGAGGAGACAGCAAAGTCCATGAGTCCGCATGTGTCCGCATGTGTCCGCTGCTCCACGGGCGCCACAGCTGGTCGGGCCCTTCTAGTCAGACGCAGCGTGTGCCAGAAGCAGCTCTCGGCTCCGAAGAATACACAAGTCTGTTTTGACGGAAGCCGCTTCAAGCTGCACAGAGCAGATCGAACTGGGCAGGAAGTCAGACAGAACGGCATAGAGAATCCGGTCAATTTTCAAAATAAAACACCCTGTGCATACTCCCGATCATAAATCCACAAAAAACACAGTTAAAACAAACAAGGTCACTCACAGGTCTCTACGCTAACCTTTTTCCCAAGGAAATAGGAAAGGAAAAAGATAATTAGGAGCACAGTGAAAAATGTTCAAGTAACAAATGCATATTTATGCTACGTGTGGCCTTCTTTCTTGTGTTCAACTGGTGTGAAACCATTGGAGGACTATGGAAGTGAAGACCCTGGTATCTGTACACTCAGCAGTGGACTTTAAAATATTGGAACATTGACACATTGAAAAAAGCTTTAAAATAACTCATCACAAAAAAAACTTTACTGTGACACCAGCAGCCCCCCCACAACCCAGGCCACACCTAATGTAAACAAGACTACTGACCAGTATTATAATAACTTTAGTAAAACAGATGTAAAACAGACCAAGGGGAACGTGTTGCTCTCAGGAGGAGCCTAGAAGGAGCACATACTGCAGGGCTCGACAGTGACGGTGGTCCGATGGCCCGGGGCCAGTAAAAGTAACGTCGGGACAGTTGAACTAGAAACTCACAGGCCCGATTGGGCCAGTGCAAAAACATTAGTATTTTAAAAAACACAACTAGAAACTGCAGTTGCTTTGCAGCGCATGGCGTGCACCGTTATTTAATCCAGATTTGTAGTTACGTGACGAGTGGTTGTCAGATGTTATTTCTCTAATAACAATCAAGTGGCAACCTCTGGGTCTGAAAGTGAAACCATGCAGACAGAACTTAAACCTGCATCCTCTCTAACAGCCAGCAGGGGCGAGGCCGCTGGTTGCAAAAAGAAGTCCGGCTCCATTAGAAAAAAAATGTTTCTACTTGTCAGCTGATTTATTCCCTCAGTAAACACTTTCCTGATGAGTTTCTGGTCTCAGTCGCTAGTTCAAGTCTTCTTCAACACAGCATGATGTTCATTTAGTAAATTATGGTCCCATTTAGAGGAACAGAGAACAGGAAGCAGGGGAGGCTACTCTGTACATTTTGTTATTTGTTATTATTAAATGGCTGTCAGCAGGAGAGGAAGCATGTCATGTTTTTTTTGTTACAGCGGTGGTATTTTAAGGTGTCACACTTAGGGCTGAAACGATTCATCGATTAAATCAATAAAATCGATTCATAAAATGCTTCGACACAAATTCTTTGCATCGATGCTTCGATGCATGTAACTATACAGCACAGTGTTTCACACGGACATTTATTACTATCGCACATGGCGTTTACGCTGTGAACACGATGTGATTATGATGGCGCTGTTTGCAAAGTGGAGGAAGAGAGAAAACAGCGAGGGGCAAAGAAGAAAGTGTCCAAACTATGGGATTATTTCAAGCTAAAGAAAACAACAACTCTGTAACGTTACCGTCCGTCCACTGTAAAATAAAACTTATGTCGCCTCGGCAACAGCACGATGGCACCTTATCAGAAAGCAGCTGGTGTTCTGTCAGCGAACCACAGACAAGATAACAGTAACTTTAGCATTTTACTGAAATCCTCATTGATTGTTGAGTTGAAGCCAAAGTAAGCTGCAGTCCTCAGCTGAAAATGTGCACGTGCGTTTGTTGTTCTGCTTTTTGGGCCGTGAGTTGTGACCTCAGTCAGGAATTAACTGGGTGTCGGGAGCTGCAGCTTTTAACTCCCCTCCAGCTCTCTCTGTAGTGTACTAATCCATCCTTTCACCCAGATTCTTTGTCTTTATAATCGCCATCTTTATAATAACAAACAGCTGTTTCTTGTGCAGGATCGCTCATTTCCCGTTTCACATTTCAGGTGTGTTTTCTTGATAAAAGTGTTTTGGAAACCAGCGTTGCCATAGGTGTTGTCAGCTCCCGTAGTGTGTGTGACCCCCTGTCACCGATCTGTCAAGTAGTGTGAACGCCACAACGACTTCAAGACTGCCATCATATGATGGCAAGTTGTGTGAACAGCACAGCTGTCGGCCGACGCTGAAAATCATGTAGTCTGCATGAACCTTTAGTATAGCTTGTATAGCACTCGGGTGATGTTTGTGTTTGTAAAGCAGCTGTCTGGTTGTTGGTCTGATGTTTGCTGTATGACACACTATGAATTTCCAAAAGGATCTATCACATAAACAAGCACAGCTGATCATGTTACCGGTGGGGGGTGCCTCTACATGATCTTTGTTGGGAGTTGCACATGCTCAGTTCCTAGTTAAGGACTACTAGCCAATCAGAAGCAGAGTAGGGCGGGTCAGCGAGAAGCCGGTAAACAGCTCTGGTTCAGCCGTACGTGTTGCCGAGCCGGTCGGCAACACGGACTGGAGCGAGAGTTTCAGAGCGGTGAGTTATTAATCTGTATCCATAAAGTTTTAACTGAGCTCTGTCTCTACATCACAGGAACAACTTTCTGTCCACTGACTGCCTGGAGGGTAGCTAGTGTTTGGAAGGGAGAGGAGAGCTGTGTGCTGCAGCTCGCTGTTTCTGAGGGCGTGTCGGAGTAGCTGCTTGGCGAGCGTTATGAGGCGCTGGACTATAAATGAGCTTTTTTCAGTTCAGAGCAGAGTTTTCTGTGGGAGATGGGAACTGGACTTTGGGCTTTTTCACTTTGCAAACCTGCTACATGCACAAAAAGGTTTAGAACTCAATAAAGGAGAGGGGAAAAGCCAAAAAGCAGAATACCACCTCTTTAACTATTACCTTAATTTTAACAGAGATCACACTTAGTTTTTTTATATCCAGGATGTATTTAGTAAACATGTTAACAGAATAACATAACTTGTAAGCCTTTGGTTTTGTTGTAACACTGCGTCCATTTGCAAAAAAGTTTAACGTTGAGCCCTGCTATTCTGATTCCATTCGGTTGTGTCTTGTATATAAATATGTAGAATTTTATACTGTGATATCATGCAGTATATTTTATAGAAAGTCATCTGTTTATGTTTAAACCAGAAAATTACTACATGACAAGTGAAATATATAGTATATAAAACTTCAGTATGACCACTCAAACTGAACTCAGTTTTCCATTACGTTTCTGTGTTTCAGTGTGTCCTGCAGACGTCCAGAAGCAAAGATGCAAAGAAAAGGTTCCCCCCGAGCAGCAGGAGTGGAGCCCCAATCTGGACCAGGAGGACCCAGTGCCCCCACACATTAAAGAGGAGTGGAGCCCCAGTCTGGACCAGGAGGACCCAGTGCCCCCACACATTAAAGAGGAGTGGAGCCCCAGTCTGGACCAGGAGGACCCAGTGCCCCCACACATTAAAGAGGAACAGGAGGAACTCTGGACCAGTGTGGAGGAAGCTGATATCACCAAGTTCCCATTCACTCCTGTTCCTGTGAAGAGTGAAGAAGGTGATGAAGAGAAACCTCAGTCCTCACAGCTTCATCAGAGCCAGACTGAACAGATGGAAACAGAAGCTAATGGAGAGGACTGTGGAGGACCAGAACCAGCCAGGAACTCTGATCCAGATACATATTTACAACCAGTTAGTGACGACAGGACTTCAGACTCTTCTGAGACTGATGACAGTGATAAAAACTGGAACGATCCAGACAGAAAGTCATTTAGCTGCTCTGTGTGTGGTAAAACATTTAAACATAGGGGTAATGTTAATATTCACATGAGAACTCATACAGGAGTCAAACCTTTTAGTTGCTCAGTTTGTGGTAAAAGGTTTACTCAAAAAGCAAGTCTGAACTACCACGTGAGAACTCACACAGGAGAGAGACCATTTAGCTGCTCAGTTTGTAGTAAAACATTTCGACATAAAGGAGCTCTAACGTACCACATGGCCACCCACACAGGGGTGAAACCATTCAGTTGCACTGACTGTGGCAAAACATTTAGGGGGACATCACAGCTCAAAGTCCACAAGTGTCTTGGTGACTTATCACAACTTCACCAAAGTAAAAGTGATAAACGCAAGAAACCACTGAACTGTTCTGAATGTGATGTAACATTTCCTAACAATTACCTTCTGACAACCCACATGAGAATGCACAAAGGCAAGAAACTGTTTACTTGCACAGTCTGTGGTCAAAAACGTCAGTTTAGTTCCCATCTGGAGATTCACATGAGAACCCATACAGGGGAGAAACCATACAGTTGCTCTTTTTGTGGTAAACGATTTTCACAAAGAGGAATCATGACCCAACACATGGCCGTCCATTCAGGGGTAAAACCGTACGGCTGCAGCGACTGTGGCAGAAGATTCTTCTGGCAGTTTCAGATCAAAAAACACAAGTGTCTTGGTAAGTCCTTGCAGCAGAGAAGAACTCGCTTTAATGGAAAGGACTGTGGAGGATCAGAACTAGACAGGAACTCTGATCCAGATAGACTTTTACAACCTGGTGCTGATGAAAACACTAAATCTTTTGAAACTGATGACAGTGTTGACATTGAATTTTGGAAAGAGACCAGGCAACATCAGTCAGGTTTCACTTACCGGAGAACAAAAAAAGTCTCTGGAAAAACTGATTCAAAGGCAGATGACAGTGTTAGCAGTGATTTTTGCAAACAGACCAGGCATCTAAACCTCCCAAAAAAACTGGAAGCCTCTGTAAATAATAAAGGATATAATACTGACAGGAAATCATTCAGCTCGTCTGAGAGTCAGAAAAGATCTGAAGACAGTCGCACTCTGCAGACACTCAGGAAATGTCAAACAGGAGGGAAAGCATTTAGTTGCGTGTTTTGTGGGAAAGGATTTGCGACAGGAGGATATCTGACAAGACATATATCTCTCCATACAGGAGAGAAATTACGTAATTGCATTGTTTGTGAGAAAAGATTCCCATTGAATGCTGACATCATTAGCCATACATGTGGTGGTGAATCCTTACAACTTTATCAAAGCCAAACTGAGGAACAGGTTACTGCCAATACATTGTTGAGCTGCTCTCAGTATAGAAAAGGATTTGGCCATAAGCAGCAGCTGCAGGTACACATGAGGTGTTACACAGGGGAAAAGCCTTTCTGCTGCTCAGTGTGTAACACAGGCTTTAGTGACAGTGAGTCTTTAGTTAAACACATGAGAATCCATACTGGACAAACACAATTTAGTTGCTCAATATGTGGTAAAGAATTTGCTTGGAGAAGATGTCTGACAAAACATATGGAAATCCATGCAAAGAAAAAAATGTACAGCTGCAGAGTTTGTGACAAAAGTTTCACTCGAATTTATCAGCTCAATTACCACGAATGTGATGAGTCCTCACAGCTTCATCAAAGCCAAACTGAACAGATGGAAACAGGAGCTGATGGAGAGGACTGTGGAGGACCAGAACAAGCCAGGGACTCTGATCCAGATAGACAACCTGAGACTGAGGAGACCTCTGAGACTGAAGACAGTGATGGTGACTGGGAGGAGACCAGAGGAACTCAGTCAGGTTTAAACTCTCTGAGTGATAAGACATGTGATGCGGGTGGGAAGCGATTCAGCTGCTCTGAGTGTGGTGAAACATTTTACAATAATCGCCTTCTGAATATCCACGTAAAGAATCATACAGGAGAACACAAGGGGGCAAACCAGGAGGACCCACCAGAGCCCCCACATATTAAAGACAAGTGGAGCCCCAGTCTGGACCAGGAGGACCCAGAGACCCCACACAATAAAGAGGAGTGGAGTCCCAGTCTGAACCAGGAGAACCCAGAGACCCCACACAATAAAGAGGAGTGGAGTCCCAATCTGGACCAAAAGGATCCACTAGAGCCCCCGCATATTAAAGAGAAGTGGTTTCTCAGTCTGGACCAGGAGGACCCACCAGAGCCCCCACATATTAAAGAGGAACAGGAGGAGCTCTGGATCAGTCAGGAGGGAGAGCAGCTTCCAGGGCTGGAGGAGGCTGATATCACCAATTTCACATTCACTCCTGTCCCTGTGAAGAGTGAAGAAGATGATGAAGAAGAGAAACCTCAGTCCTCACAGCTTCATCAAAGCCAAACTGAACAGATGGAAGCTGATGGAGAGGACTGTGACTCTGATCCAGATAGACTTTTACAACCTGAGACCGAAGACAAGCCTGAACACACATATAAAACTGAAGACAGTGTTGACAGTGACTTTTGGAAGGAGACCAGAGAACGCTGCTCTGATGAAAAGGCTTCAGAGTCTGTTGGACCTGAGACTGATGACAGCGTTGACAGTGATTTCTGGAAAGACAACAGGAAACCTCAGTTAGATTTAAACTCTTTGAAAAATAATGAAGTTTCTGAAAGTGAAACGATGCCCAATACTCTCAGGAAAACATACAGCTGCTCTGAGTGTGGGAAAAGGTTCCTCCACATTTGCAATATGAACAATCACATGAAATTTCATACAGGAGAGAAAGCTTTTTTTTGTTCTGTTTGTGGTCAGAAATGTCTTTACAAGTCTCATCTGAAGATACACATGAGAACTCATACAGGAGAGAAACCATTCAGCTGCCCAGTTTGTGGTAAAAAATATGCACATAAGGCAAGTATGCAATCTCACATGGTCGTCCACACGGTGGAAAAACAATACACCTGCGACATTTGTGACAAAAGCTTTGCTTGGTATACAGAGCTGAAATACCATCAGTGTGTCGGGGAGTCCTCACATGAAAATCCATGCTGGGGAGAAACCACGTAGTTATACACAAGAGAAATCTGTACTTAACACAGGAGAAATGATGATTGGTTGAGCTGCAACTAGGGCTGGACAATTTTCGTGATATAATTTTCCTTAACAGAATAACATATGTTCAATAAATTGATTTAATTAATTTGTTTTAAGAACGAATTAGCACGTAATTTTTCTACTAAGATATTTATTTTTATTAAGGAGAAGGGACTGAAAACAAATTGTACTTTATTTTCCTCGTGCATATTTGTTAAAACTGAATGTTCTGCATCAGATTAGTTTACTGATCCTCTGTTTGGCATAAAGTGTTTGTTCTGACCAGAAAGAAAAGTTTAAAACCACATTTAACTTTCACTGAGGAGCAAAAAAAATCAGCCTTTAAACTAAAGAAATAATGATTTGAGATTTATTTTGATCATTATCTATATCCAATGACATGAAATTTCTGGGCTATATTGCCCGGCCCTCGCTGCAACCAACAACTTCTTACTGTATCGATTAATTGGTAAATTATTTTCTGATTTCATGTTTAGTTCAGTTTACTGTTAATTTTGACACTATGAAGCTGCTCCTCTTCACATTTGAGAAGCAGGAACAAAACAAAACCCGCCTGCTTTTCTGTTGATTGCTTGATCAACTCATGGTGGCAGCTGTACTGTAGAGTCCTGTCAGCCAAGTATTGAAGCATTAAAACAACAGGAAAACCTCACTTTGAGTTTCTCACAGTTGTATTAAAGAAGTGATTGTGATTTTGAATATGCTAAAGGGATTTTAAAGGTATTTATTTTATTTTTTAAAGAAATGCTTTGTCTTTGCAGCAACACAACAATACAAAACTTCCTGTTTATATCTGCTTTATCCAACTTCCACACACTATTGTACTAAATCATCTACCTGGGTGATCTTCAGTGACCACTGAGTCTTTTCTGACCTTTACAGACAGAAGGTTCTTGATGTGGACACTGGACTGGGAAACATTTACAAGATGATCCTCATTTAGAAACGCAGCCTTCATATCAGATATTCAGATGTTTCTCCTTCGTGCCTCTCAGGTCTGACTTTATTTTGCGATACTTCATGTGAACTGTGAACTAGAGATGCACAGATTCTGACCCGCTGATTCAGATGTTCTTCTAAGATTTATAATCAACAAACAACCAAACATTTTTGGAACTTTGATGGAGAATTATTGCTCCATTAGCAGCAGCATAAGCATTAGCTGTTCCTCTGGTGTCGATTGTCTGTTGATAATAAATTGATTATTAAATCACTTTTATTAAAAATAAAATCCAACAGAAAACAAACTGCAGTGATCAGACAAAATGCTTTTTTTGCAGTGAGAGGTGTCTTTTAAAAAAAAAATTGTTTTCTATTGGCAGTGAGCGTTGTTGCAGCCAGCCAGGAGCCCTCCGAGCGCACAAAGTTGAAAAAATTCTACTCTGAGCAGAAAAGTACCCGACGTCATTCGCGTTTTTTTTTTTTTTTCCATTGTCCAATCAGTTGTGGAGACTCAACAAGCTGGCCCCGACTCATCTCAAAATAAGCCTTGAACCCACCATCATTAAGGCAAAGCTCCTTGTGGAACTACCAGCGGTGTCTCCGCTTTCTGAGGGTCTCATTTACCCACACGGATCTCCGTTTCCATGTCTCCTGCGTGTTTGTACACCTCTCACCTTCCGTTTTTTGAAATCAGATGTTTTTAGCGACTAAACACACAACTTTGAGTTGTGATCAAGTTCCTGCTAATATGACAAAGACTACAGATCGCTTCAACATAAAAAAAAAAAAACAGCGCACTGCTCTTTTCCAAATTCAACCAAAAAAGGCATTGCTGTGTCTGGTTGGGACCTAACGCAGCTTAGTGTTTCCCACAGAATAACAATGATAACTGAGGCAGGGACACGGGGGAATGTTTTATCTGAAAATATATAAAAGAATACATTATGCTTACTTAATTACTATACTTCCAGCAGGTTATTATTATCTTAACTCACCATTTTAATTGTCCACCTTGTCTTATTTAATTTGGCCAGCTCAGGATTGGATATGTGAGGCTGATCAGCACTGGTCACCGATCAGAAATGTGTCAATGACAAATGTTTAATCAACATTTTACGTAGAAATCATCTTCAAAAGCGATAATGTTGTAGCTAGAAGTGCCTCTGAAATGTAAAAAATGATATTTTCTGGTTTCATTTTGTTCACATTTCAATAAAATATGAATTAAAACAACATGATTATCTGTGTTTCTGTAAATGTTCCCATTCAAATATTATTGCAGCACATTGACTAAGAAGGTAAAATACTACACAGTTGTAGGTACTTATACTTTTATATTCATCAACAATTAGATCTCTTGTTTTTGTCAATGAAATAGTCCAGGGTGCAAATTATACTGTGACAACCGGGGACAGCTTTTTTTCCCAGGTCAAAAAGAAAACCTAGTACAGCGTAGGCCTGGGCGAAAAATCGATTGAATGAATTAATTCGAATTTTTTGTTGCGGGCGATTTAAAGTAAAAAGTAAAGTAAAAAAAGTAATAAATAAATCGAGTTTTTGTGTAATAGCACATTTTTGGCTCCCCGGGGTTTCCGTAGTGTTCGTTTCCCATAGCGACAACATCATACACTAAACAACAACAGCAAGCGACAAAATGGCTACCGGTGAGAGCGGGAAGTTTGTTCCCAAGAAAGGAATATAGTCATCTGTTGTTTGGAACTGGTATGGGTTTGCTGCGACAGATGTGGAACAACAGACACCACGCTGCAACATTTGCCTAAAGCCTATCGCAGTGAAAGGCAGCAGCACCACAAACCTATTCCAACACCTGAAACAGAGACATCCAGCCGAATATGAAAAATGACAGTCTCTCCGCGATGAACAAAGCCGCACTGACCAACAAACCTTATTGCTTTCCTTAAGTAGGGGGGGAAATCGGAAAAAATCGTAAATTGAATTAAAAAAAATAAAATCAGAGATTTTATTTTTAGGCCATATCGCCCAGCCCTAGTACAGCGCAGGCGTGGGCTTCAGTAAACTAAAATCTTAAAATGTTAAATGTGTCAGTATGTGTGCAGCCTGTAGATGATGATGAATCAAATTCATTACACCAGTTCATGGGGGCCCCGTACCACATGACAACTTTTGTAATCAGAGGTCACCAAGTATTCTAGAGCAAAACTGCCAGAAAGTCAGACCCACAACATCAAACCATCAGGAACGCTCCAAACAGACCCACACAACGTTGAACCAGAACCAAAGACACTATCATAAAAAACAGGCTGCATTATTATCTCTAATTCAAGTCTCTAAGCTAGAGTCCAAGTCAAGTCTCTAAGCTAGAGTCAAGTCAAGTCTCTGAGCTAGAGTCCAAGTCACATCTCAAGTCTCTGAGCTGGAGTCCAAGTCAAGTCTCTAAGCTGGAGTCCAAGTCAAGTCTCTAAGCTAGAGTCAAGTCAAGTCTCTGAGCTAGAGTCCAAGTCACATCTCAAGTCTCTGAGCTGGAGTCCAAGTCAAGTCTCTAAGCTGGAGTCCAAGTCAAGTCTCTAAGCTAGAGTCAAGTCAAGTCTCTGAGCTAGTGTCCAAGTCAAGTCTCAAGTCTCTGAGCTAGAGTCCAACTCAAGTCTCCGAGCTAGTGTCTGAGTCAAGTCTCAAGTCTCTGAATTAGAGTCTAGTCACATTTCAAGTCTCTGAGCTAGAGTCCAAGTCAAGTCTCAAGTCTCTGAGCTAGAGTCCAAGTCAAGTCTCTGAGCTAGAGTCCAAGTCAAGTCTCTGAGCTAGAGTCCAAGTCAAGTCTCTGAGCTAGAGTCCAAGTCAAGTCTCCGAGCTGGAGTCCAAGTCAAGTCTCAAGTCTCTAAGCTAGAGTCAAGTCAAGTCTCAAGTCTCTGAGCTAGAGTCCAAGTCAAGTCTCAAGTCTCTGAGCTAGAGTCCAAGTCAAGTCTCTGAGCTAGAGTCCAAGTCAAGTCTCCGAGCTAGAGTCCAAGTCAAGTCTCAAGTCTCTGAATTAGAGTCTAGTCACATTTCAAGTCTCTGAGCTGGAGTCTCAGTCAAGTCTCAAGTCTCTGAGCTAGAGTCAAGTCACATCTCAAGTCTCTGATCTAGAGTCCAAGTCAAGTCTCAAGTCTCTGAGCTGGAGTCCAAGTCAAGTCTCAAGTCTCTAAGCTAGAGTCAAGTCAAGTCTCAAGTCTCTGAGCTAGAGTCCAAGTCAAGTGTCCGAGCTAGAGTCCAAGTCACATCTCAAGTCTCTGAGCTGGAGTCCAAGTCAAGTCTCAAGTCTCAGAGCTGGAGTCCAAGTCAAGTCTCAAGTCTCTGAGCTAGAGTCCAAGTCAAGTCTCCGAGCTAGAGTCCAAGTCAAGTCTCAAGTCTCTGAATTAGAGTCTAGTCACATTTCAAGTCTCTGAGCTGGAGTCCAAGTCAAGTCTCTGAGCTGGAGTCTAAGTCAAGTCTCTGAGCTAGAGTCAAGTCACATCTCAAGTCTCTGAGCTAGAGTCCAAGTCAAGTCTCAAGTCTCTGAGCTGGAGTCCAAGTCAAGTCTCAAGTCTCTGAATTAGAGTCTAGTCACATTTCAAGTCTCTGAGCTGGAGTCTAAGTCAAGTCTCAAGTCTCTGAGCTAGAGTCAAGTCAAGTCTCTGAGCTAGTGTCCAAGTCAAGTCTCAAGTCTCTGAGCTGGAGTCCAAGTCAAGTCTCAAGTCTCTGAGCTAGAGTTCAAGTCAAGTCTCAAGTCTCTGAGCTAGTGTCCAAGTCAAGTCTCAAGTCTCTGAGCTAGAGTTCAAGTCAAGTCTCCGAGCTGGAGTCCAAGTCAAGTCTCAAGTCTCTGAGCTGGAGTCCAAGTCAAGTCTCTGAGCTAGAGTCAAGTCACATCTCAAGTCTCTGAGCTAGAGTCCAAGTCAAGTCTCAAATCGTTGAGCAAAAGTCCAAGTCAAGTCAAACTCCAGGAAGCTCATAATGGAGAAATACTCTGTGGTCTTGCGTTCTGCTCCTGCACCACTCCTTCTCTCTCATGGTCTGTCTCGCCTTAATATATCTGTCCCTGAGATTTTTCCATCGCCTTTTACACTCATCCTCTAAATAATAGGAGAAAACGTGTTAATACTAGTATATGAAAGCTATAACTTATATTACTACTTTAGTCCTACTTCAATTAATAAACTAGATGTAGAGCAACTGAGGGAGAGCACACAACAAAACTAAGCTAGGTTTACAAATATTGCCTACCTAGAACAAGCCTGACTGAAAACACACTGGACACGTCTACTTGACTGGAAATGTGTTTCCATGGTACTGCTTTCCTCCCGATGTCCCTGTACAATCGCAAACTTGTGTCATATAGTTTGGGGAATTCAGAAACACAATATTAGCTTTTCCTCAATTTTGCTTCCCAGTCTTTCTTGCCCTGTTTCTATTGGTCACGAGTGTATTTGTCACAGCGTGCCTCGGACAAAGTTCAACATAGTTGACAGAAATGCAATATAAAATCTATAACTATGTTTTTACTTATATAATAAACTTTTTTGTGTTTATTACCTTAGAATGAGACATTTCTACCTGCATAACCGTGGGATGTTGGACGTCGCCATGTTGGGTTGTCATGTTTCTACAGTAGCTGAAAACGGACAAACAGCGCTACAGAGTGCATGTTGTCACTATGTTCTTCTTCTTGTACTTCTGGGAGAATTCAGGCAGAGCAGACACTCATCACTGTGTTGA